CCCCCCCCCCGACATAGCCGCAGTACCCCGCTGCTGCTGCTATTCAACAACCGTGTCCATGTTTGTGCAAGATTGCCCTAGCCCGGCGAGCGGGTTATGTCTAGGTCGAACCGTCACGCGTACTGCCCTCACCCTCCCTCTCGTCTAGCCCTCCTGATCCCCCACTCCTGATCCCCCCCACCGCCCTCCCCCGTCTATCTTGACGAAGGACGGGACTGTCGATCTACGTCACGGAGGGATGTTTCCGAGCGGAACACCGTAAGGAGGCCCTCAGGACAGAACCTGTCGACGTCCGAGCCCTGCCGGGGGTACCTATCCACAGGTACCGGTGCCGTTTCGTGCATTTTGGTGGCAGACGTATCGGCACCGCGTTTTTGGCCCAAGACATCGAGCACACACTCGCTTTTGCAACGCACTCGCTTTACGTTTTTGTGACGCTACATTCTGAAGATTGCAAGCCGTCCTACGGCTGTCTCTTTCTGCTCGACAAGAGCTTTAACTCGTTTTCGCCCCCATGTGTGGGATAGTGTTGTCGGGTTTCTTGTGGAAATAGTCCTATCCCCAGGCGGCAAGCGCAGCGCCTTGCCGTTGTATGCTGTCGGGTAGGCAACATCATGCCTTTGTGCTGTTGGTTCAGTAGTTCAGGGCGGGGGCGAGGCAAGTAGTTCTGCCACTGATCGTTGTTGTCGTTGTTGAGGCCGTTGATCGTTCAAGGCGAGTTAAGGGTGACGGGGCCTATGTGCTTAGCACTTATGGCAGAAGTAGTCCGTTCCGGCACCAAAAAATGAGGAAGTATGGATCAGATAATGATGCCACTGCCGCAAGTGATCAATTGAGGTTAGCCTGCTACCTTCTATAAGTTGGTCATGCACTAAAGTGACCGCGTGCTGCGCTGATGAAATTGGTGTATTTTCTGCTAACCGTTCGTCCCAGCTCGTTGATCAAAAACGCGCCCCTGGACCACTCCCCTACCCCTAGCCCTAACCCTTACCCGGGCGTCCTTCTTGTCGCAGCTACCTGCGGTCAGACGCGCAGCCGCTGAGGAAGGGGCAACCAGTGGAGATAAAGTTCAAGCTCATGCCCACCTCCTTCAAGTTCCTCAAGGGGCAGGTACGTACGTGTTGATGACGATAGAGACTCGGTCTACCTTGGTTTTTAGAGTCGGGAATCTGAGCAACACGAAAGGCTGCTGATCATTTTGTGAAGTCGTTCTGTCGCCTTTGCCTATGCTAGTGCCGTGGCACTGGGTGGCAACCTTCTCCCACGCTATCCTGCTCTGTGTTGGTTTGGACTTTGCACTTACCTGTGAATGTGCGGGCGAACGCAGAAATGTGCGATTCGATTATAAATGTTCGATTGCTCCACGACAAGCAAGAGGCTGCCAGTGTCGGAAAGGTGACTGTGGAAAAAACTGGTGGAGAATTTTGCTTTCCATGTGTCGGGCGACTTCCGATAGCGCCCTTCGTGCTTGTGAAACCCTCGATCTTCGAAAAATCGATCGCACACTCGTATGCTCGCGCATTTCTCACGGCACCCATATCCCGGCTACCTGGCTACCTTCGATCTTGCGATCATTTGCGCGTCTACCTGCAGCGAGTCTATCACGGCGCACCACTAAAAAACGCACGCACGGTCAGGTTGCGTTCCTCCATACCCCCCCCTCCTGGTCTTCCTGAAGTACGATTCCTCCCCCCCCCCCCC